CCTATGGATATGCCCACTTACGATGCCTTGTGTGGATGAGGATAAAGCTGTCTAAAATTGGACCTACATTGGCTGCGGGTTGTTCGCTCCTCATTCTAACCGCACTGCCCAGGGTCACTACATACAATAAGGATTCAATGCCATATAAGGAGGTAGTCCACACCACATTACTCTCACCTCACATTTAATCTACAAAGGAGGATAATCTTATATTGCTGTTATTGACTGTGCACCAACACGTTTGAAGCTTCAAAATGACTCAGTAAAATTGACAAATCATTGGGTTGTTTTCGTTTGTACTTCTCTCCTTCTCAGCGAAGATCTGCATGAACAGGAGCTAAGTATTTGTTAGAACTCACCCTTCAGAGGAGCGCCTCCTTGAAAATTGTAGTGGGAATAAGGAGTGAAGCTGTTGTTTGAATAGATGAATTCAACCTTGAAATTCCAAAGTAGCAGCTTACTTTGTCTCATATTTTAATTTTCAGTATTTATCTGTTGGAGAAATACAAATTAATGAATGCCATTTCCTTTGGCAGTTTCACTTTACTGTCGTTGGGTTTGCACTAGCAGGGCTCCAGGCATAAATGGAAGATTTTTGCGATTTTGAGGGGGAAAAGTCTGCAGATCCCCGAAATTGCACATTGTTCTCATATGCATACATGCATAAACCTCATGTATAAGTACAGGATTTCTTGTGCACTAATTAATGGATTCGTTCCCGAAGTAAATAAGCCTATTAGCAGCCAGTGAGGCAACACTGGCATTGCGATTGGCCCAGCTCCACCTTCAAAAGGGAGGTGGCCATATTGACCCCTCCAGTAATCTCTTTCAGCCATTGCACACCTTCTCACAAATCCATGCGCCCACACTCCCCTGCACTACTTTCCAATACCAAATTCGAGATGGCGACACCTTGCAATGCATCCTTGACCTTCTCTTCTCGCTGAAGCCCAACTTCACTGACTTGGCTGGCATTAATATCTGACCAAAGAGGAATGCTGATATCTTCAACCTCATTGTTATCATTCGTTATCCGCTGATACTGCCTCATCAAAGGAGTAGAATGAA